TTCCATTCCCTTTTTATGCACTTGGAGATAAGCGATGAGTCGATTTCCCCTATGGCTATCTCTAAAACATTATTTGCACACCATTTTAAGCTAAATAGCATAGCTGCTGCTTCAGCCATATTGCTGGTACCATGTCCCATGGGAATTGAGTAGGCAAAAATGAAAATTCCCTGGTTATTTCTGATGAGTCATCCTCCTCCACAAATGCCTTGAATGCAGCTTCCATCACTGTTTAGCTTTACCTTTTGAGTATTACGTCTGATCCACCTGACCATTGTGCTAGTTTTTTGTTCTAGCATAGCTGCACTTGCTTGACAAATAGTGTGCCAATCTCTCCCTACATTAGCTCTTCCAAATTTGCTTTTCAGTACCTGCAAAAGGATTGACACTATATTAGTTTTGGTTCTATAGAAAGATGTTCTGATGTTTTCAAATTTTTTGGTGCATCTTGACTTCCATAACTCCCAACATATGATCAAAGGAAGAATCATTGTGATGAGTTTTGCAATAGGATTGTGAGTCTTAAAATTCCACCAATTAAGATTGGATTTTGTGATTCCTGCTATTGTGACCAATTCCCATAGGTCTAGCAAAATAACTCCATATTTTCTTAGCATGATCCCTCAGACAGAAGAGATGATCAATGTTCTTAATGCCCGGATTCTAGTTGTTGTTGCAGCAGTGGCACATATTGTTAACTTGTATTCCAAATTTGGAAACTCTTTCCTCAGTAGATAATTTGTTATGAATAGCTCTCCAGGTGAGGAAGGAGATCTTGAAGGGAATATCCTTATGCCAGACCTGGTTAACAAAATTATCCAGATTTTTCCTCTGCTTGAAGGTGTCCCAAGCTGAACCAACAGAAAAATTTCCAGTAGTAGATGGTGTCCAAATGGTTGTGTCTCCCTTGTTTCTATTCATTTTTATATTAAGAGCCCTGATCTTATCCTTTATTTTATCATCAATTGAGTATGGAGCCTATTCCAATTTCATGAGCCATTATTGATGATATCTTCGAACTTGATCTGATTGCAGCTAGTCCTGTCAGAAACTAGTTGGTGTAAAGGACTCATGCCAATCCAATTATCATACCAGAAAGACACCTCTCAATCACCTACATTCCATAAAATGTTGCTCTCTACATCCTCCTTAATTTTGCACAAATTTTTCCAGTTTTGAGGCTGGCCATTGTTCCATTGAGCTACAGAAGGGTGCTTATTGTGAAAGAACTTGGCTTCCATGAATTCCTTCCATAGGGAGTTGGTAGTTCTCAATATCCACCATTATTTAGCTTGAAAGGCATGACATGTGTCTGCTAGGCATCTGAAGTTAGCTCCTCCCTCATCGTAGGGGTAGCAAAAATTATTCCAAGCAGTAGAATGATATTTACCACCTGTGTCCTGTCTTGACCAGAAGAATCTGGCAACATATTTCTCAATAAGCTCCAGTGTGCCTTTAGGAGGATTGGTGGCTGCAAGAAGATGGATGGGGAGGGCAAGGAGGACATGTCTAATCATGATAGCTCTTCCTCCTGTAGAGAGGAATTTTGTTTGCCAACCCCTGATTTTGCCTATGATGTTGTTGACAATATCAGAGTAATGTGATCTTCCTCCTTCCTGTGATGAGAGGGCATCCCAGATACTTGATAGGGAATTGCTGATGATTCATTCCTGTGATGTTCTTGAGTCTGTTGATTGTGGCTGCCTTAGTATTGTTAGCCACTGCAAAACAGCTCTTATCTTTGTTGATGAGTTGCACGGATACTTTCTCATAAGTATCCAAAGTTTTGAACACCATCTCCAGTGCTTTTTTGCTTCCATTGCAGAACAGGATAGTATCATCTGCAAAATAAAGGTGGTTAACCTTAGGACCATTGCTATTCATATAGAAACCCTTGTAACCTTCTCTTTCATGAAGATTATTTAACATTCTGGATAGTAGTTTAACACTGATAATAAACAATGAAGGAGACATTGGATCTCCTTGTCTCAAACCTCTTTCAGATTTAAAGAACCCATGCCTTCCCCCATTAACAATAATAGAGTACCAATTGTTGGATATGAAGTTATAAATGAGATCAATCCACTATTCTGAGAAGCCAAGTTTCCTTAGAGCCAGACATAAGAAAGTCCAAGAAACTCTGTCATATGCTTTAGCCATATCAAGTTTAATAACAACATTCCCACCTCTAGAGGGCTTCTTAATGTTATTTATAATCTCTTGAGAAAGGAGAATATTTTCAGTTATAGCTCTTCCTTTGATAAAACCAGACTGATTTGTAGAGATAATCCTAGGGATAATTCAAGAGATTCTAGTATTGAGAATTTTAGAAATTATCTTACTGGATACATTGCACAGGCTTATAGGTCTCAAGTCTGTGAATTTCTGAGGGTGTTCGACCTTGGCGATCATCACTAAGCAAGTGTGAGTAAAGAATTTGGGGAGGTCAGCACCATTAAAGAAAGATTCCACAGCTTTTAGGAGATCATGACATATGATATTCCAGGCAGTTTGATAAAAAACAACCACTCAAGCCATCAGGGCCTGGTGCACTATCCTTGTTAATTGAGAACACACTATCTTTCACTTCTTGCATGGTAGGTATAACTGTGAGCATGTTCTGTTCTTTCTCAGTAATACATCTCTCAATGCAATTCGAGGCTTCAAAGTTGGTAGTTTGAGTATCCCGAGAGAACATGTTCTGGAAGTGCCTGATTGCGGCTTCTGCTATACTATCATTTCCTTCGATCCATTGGTTTTGTTCATCCATGATTTTAGTGATAGTCAGTCTCCTCCTTCTTTCTTTTATAATGATATGGAAGTATGTTGTATTAGCATCACATTCTTCAAACCATTTGGCACTGGCCTTCTGCCTCAAGATATTATCTTGAATTTTCAGGTATCTTGTAAATTCAGCTCTATTTCTTGATAATTCTCTTCTGTTTTCAGGAGAATTTTCATTAACACAATTATTTTCCAAAGTTCTAATCTCAGCTTCCAACCTTTTGGGTTCCTCATATATGTCACCAAAAGTTTGTCTTGACCAGTTGCTCAACTCCTTACACACTTTTTTAATCTTTTGATGAAGCGTGTAGAGTGGGTTCCCATAGACATCTTCTTCTCAGCATTCCTGAACTATTTTCAAGTAATCCGGAGTGCAGTCCAAAAGTTTAAGAATTTAAAATACTTTATGAAGGAATTTGTCTCCAGGCTCATTTTAACTAGTAAGGGTGCATGGTCTGAACAAGCTCTGGACAGGTGTGTAACTGAGGTGTTACTGATAGAGTCAAACCATGATGTATTGTTAACAAGTCTATCAAGCCTCTTCCAGATGGTAGTCGGTGGGTCTCTGTTATCACACCATGTGAACATAGAACCAGTAAAGCTTGCATCGTGTAGCCCACACTCATTGAGACACTCAATGAAATCTAGGCTCTCTTCCATTCTATAGCTTCTTCCACATTTCTTTTCTTCACTTGAGGTGATAACATTAAAGTCTGCAATTGACCCCCATGGCCCTTGTATGTTGTTGTCCATTTCCTTCATATCTTGCCAGAGCTCTCTTCTCTGTTCTTCAGTGCACTTAGCATACACTACAGTCATGTGGATAGGAGGATTACTATTGTACGAAGCCTTGATCAAAACATGTTTTTCTTTATCTTGAATGATGGTAACATCAACTTCATTAGTCCAAAAGATCCAGATTTTGTTGGAGCAGTTATAAAAGCCTTGATGTATACCAAGTCTTCTCCTGAATCTGTCCATTTTCCTACTGTCCACCATAGGTTCCTGTAAACAGATAAGAGGTACTTGAAATTTTTGTTTAATGGTTTGGAGTCTCTCAAGAGATCCTTTTGAAGTAATCCCACGTATGTTCTATGATATTGTACTAATCATTGGACACATTAGGGGTAGGATCCATTTGCACTTCCTTGTTCTCCTCTGCACTTTCTTGTGTTTGAATAAAAACACCACCAGGATTCTGGTAGTTTCTAGGAGATAAATTGTTGAAGAGAGTGATGCTTTGTTGCACTAATTTACCCTTCTTTTTATAGGAATCATGGTATTTAGAGTTGATGTAACCTCTAGTGAGTTCATCATCTGAACTAACAAGTCTGGTTTCCTTTCTATAGGCAATGTCCATTTCTGTTTCCATGCTGGCTATATCCTGAAAAGCTTCTTTAAACTCCTCCCTTGGTTTTTCTCTTTGTTCACCTTGATCAGGTGGTTCAAGGTCCTTATTGAGGATAAAAACTTGGTCCCTTCTCCTTCCGGATAAGCTTGGATCTCTAACTTCTATTCCTTCATCTTCAGCGAAAATGGACCTTTCCTGATTGACTTGTTCAAGATTGAGTGATAGCCAGTTGGTAGTTTGATCAGTACTCTTCTTTTTAATGTTACCATTGATCAGTACATCTTGTTGTCTCCTCACACACATGAAAGAACGGAGACGAGGCGGTCACCAATTGATGCATTTTTAAACGGCTCCTACATCTTTTTGTGTAATGTTGTGAGTGCATACACAATGAAGGCCAAAAATTCATAACGCTTTTCTACCATTATATTTATTGTATAACGGTATATAATTATGCATAATTATATATAATCATGTATCATTGTGAGTATATACACACGTAAGGGTTATACATAGTATATACACATCATTGAAATTTATTTTCTCAAACTTGACATATATTGAGTTAAACCAGGTAAATTTGTAGAGGGTGGTAAATTTGTAAACCAGGTAAAATGTGCTATATTTTCCTTTCTAAATTTTCACAAGGTGTCATATTTTCTTTCAAAAATTGAAGCGGAATATTCTTGATACTATTCAGTCCAGTAAAAGCGAAGTCCAAAAAGTTAAAGACGAAAAAAAAGGTTAAATAAAAAATCTGACAGCTGCCCGATAATCCACCAAACAGCAACGGGCACCTACCCGATCTCTTACCGGGCAGGAACAAACTCCGAGGTTACTTCCCTACTCCTTTTTTAACCTTTATCTCCCTCTTGCACTACCATAACTCAGCGCCTAGCGCTTATATTTTACTCCCACCACACACCCACCGTGCCCCTCCCGCCGTGGTGGGTGGCGCGTGATATCCACCCGCGGGGCACTTCACCTCAATGCTAAGGAGGTGATGGGGCAGAAATTAAGTTGTGTACAGCAACCCCATGAACATGGACTGTTCAGTGCAGTCCAAAGTGGTGAGCTTGAAAAAGTTGAAGCTATGATTAATGAAGACCCAAATGTGCTTCATTTTACCAGTGTTCGTGGGAAGCTCTCTGCACTTCATGTTGCTGCTGCTAATGGGCAGATCGAGGTTGGTTTTTCATTTTCTTTAAAAAAAATGTAATCTTTATTAGTTATCCGGTACCAGTGCTGGTATGAGGTAGCATGTACCCGTGAAATTTGTTGAGGTACACACAAGTTGGCCCGAACACCACAGTTGTAGAAAAAAAATGTGATCTTTACTTTCTTGTTCTTGTTTTTTAAGGTGGGTGTCAAATGTAAGTGGTTCTTGATCTTTGATAAGTCATTTTGGGTTTTTCCCCATTTTGATTCTTGGTTTTGATTATGGATAGGTGCTATCTGTTCTCTTGGATCGTGGGGTTAATCCAGACATTTTGAATCGCCATAAACAAGTAAGTGGTAGCTGTAGTAGTTGTTGTGATTTGTGTGTTTCTGGTGTATTTTGCCAATTTTATATACTCTATTTCTCAAGAAGTTTCATTTTGTGATGTTCACTTGTTTGCAAAAATGTCATTTTTTGAACACTAGGCATAGATAATTGTTGAATTTGTTTTTTTATTTTATTTGTTTCATTGTGGAAATATTTCAGACCCCATTAATGTTAGCTGCTATGCATGGAAATGTGTCCTGCGTGGAGAGATTAATTCAGCGAGGTGCTAATGTAAGTGATTCTTTGCATAATTTTTTTTATGATAGTCTCTTTGACTGATTGAGATGGGTAGTTAATTGGTCTTTATTGGTCGTATGTTTTAGATTTTAACGTTTGATTCACTACATGGAAGAACCTGTTTGCATTATGCTGCTTACCATGGCCATTCTGACTGCTTGCAATCGATCCTTGCATCCGCTCATTCGGCTCCTGTTGCTCAATCTTGGTAAATTCAAAAGACAACTTCTTTTTCATCTACCCTGTCAAAGTCCCCCTTCTTGTCATTTTGTGATGCCTTACAAAGGGCTTCATGTATTCGAGTATTATCACTTTATTATTGAAGGGCTATATGTTTACTCTTTTGCTTGGATTGGAGTGCAGGGGATTTGCGAGATTTGTGAACATAAGAGATGGAAGTGGTGCAACTCCATTGCACTTGGCAGCCCGTCATGGTAGACCAGGATGTGTCCGGATTCTTCTAAGCAACGAGGCTCTTGTCTGTGTTTCTAGTGGTAGCTACGGGTAATAAAACTTAGCCAGAGTGGTTTTGTAACTTTAGTGCTGTATGTTGAAAGTCAAATTGACATTAAGATTTTGCAGCCGACCAGGAAGTACACCATTGCATTTAGCAGCTCGAGGAGGTTCTTTGGACTGTGTACGGGAGTTACTTGCTTGGGGTGCAGATCGACTTCAGAGAGATTCTTCTGGGTGAGTCCATATGCACTTTCTTTAAGTTATGTGGTTTTTGTAAACTAACCATTGCATACCTTTTCAAGTAATGTGGGCTTCTGCACTAACCATGTGCAGCAAGTATCTTAGTTACTTCTTGATTATTTTACATTCTTGATCTCTATCATTCTATTTATGAAGTTTGACACTTGTAGAATATGAAGTCATTAAAAAGTAAATTCCCTTGTGGACTTTTTCATTCTGTGTCTGTATTGTCGTGCTCTTTTTTGAATAATAATAATAGTAATGACAGTTAGGCAAGAAACCAGAATATAAAGTCACCACAAAGTAGTTCCCTTAAGAACATCCAATTTACACATTGAATCTTTCTCTGAAAAAATATGAGGTTCAAGCTAAAAGCATGATGAAAAGCGTCAAGGAGAAATTGGGTTTGAGTTACATATACGGAGACCATTGGTAACTTCTAGATTGTCAAAGTATGTCGCAGTTGAAGCCTTACTTTCTTTACCCCTTTCTCATAACTGTCATTTTATTATTCCAAGTCCTTTCAGTTCTATTTGTGGTATTTATTCAACTCTTTGCAAGTAATCCTTTTTCGAATATGGAATTAATCACTTGTAAATGGGATCTCTACAGGCGAATACCTTACTTAGTTGCTTTGAAGTACAAGCATGAAGCATGTGGTGCTCTCTTAAATCCATCATCTCCAGAGCCTTTGACCTGGCCATCGCCTTTGAAGTTTATTACTGAGCTTGACGCCGAGGCAAAAGCTTTACTAGAGAATGCTCTTATTGAGGCCAACAAAGATAGAGAGAAGTTGATATTGAAAAAGACAGCTGTCTCACATACATCGCCTTTACATTGTGATTCTGGCCTTGAGAGTGATGACTTTGAGGTAACAAGTCTCAAGCCCTATAAAACATAAGAAATTAACAAATAAATTATTCTGCATCAGCTGCTGCAATAGTTTGCCTGGACTTGTAAAATATTATGTTTGATATATCATTTTGCCCAAGAAGGTTCGCCTAGAATTTTCCCGCGGAGAATAAATAAATGGATGTACATATAGGGTTATGACAATGTTGCTTGGACGCAATCCTTCCTAGAACGATGATGAATCTTGTTAAAATGTGTAGACATCTGCAGAGGAGATCATCGTCATTTCATTTTCTTTTTGGGTAATGCGGTAGTAGAAAATATGCACTGTGGTAGTTGGACAAATGTTAACAAACCATTTCTACTATACGGCTCTTGTTTGTTAATCCATATGACATTTCCATTTTGTAGAAACAGAAAGAGGAAAACCATAATTTTGCATAACATTTTAATTGATGGTTGGCTGTTATGTTGCATCGAGGACTCATCTGGTCTATACAACTCTTTCTACTAATCAGCAAATGAAGAAAATGAAGATTTTAACACATTTATGTTAGATCTTTTACTATGAATCTGCTTTTTACAAATCGTGCTTTTGTTTCCAACAGGGCAGTGATTTTGAGCTATGTTGCATATGCTTCGAGCAGTCCTGCACAATTGAGATTCAAAAGTGTGGCCATCAGATGTGTGCTCATTGCACTCTAGCCTTATGTTGTCACAATAAGCCCAACCCTGCAAGTAATAATAGTGAGAAGGTTCCAGTATGCCCCTTTTGCCGGAGTGATATCACTCATTTAGTCGTGGTCCAGAATAAAATAGACAGTTGCGAAGAGGAATTGAGTCCCTCACGGCCAAGAAAATCAAGAACATCTTTCAGTCTTACTGAAGGTGGCAGCAGCAGCAGCAGCAGCAGTAGCAGTAGCTTGAGAGTTTTGTCACCCTTAGCCTCATTCGGGAAGTTGGGTGGTCGCCATTCAGGCAAAATTAGTGCAGAATGCATTGAAGTGTTTGCCAAGCCTTAAGAATCAATTCCAATGGGACGATAGTAACTAGTCGTCTATTCCTTGATATCCTCTGCTCAATCATCAGTCTGAATCTACCTATCGAGGAATCTTGTTTCCAATATACCTTACATATATATGTATATCTATATCTATAGAGGGGGGGGGGGGTGAAGAATACCTTTGAGTTGTTTCAATAGCAGCTCAACTATCCCTTTACAATAGGGGCTAGATTATGGAGCTGCTGCCTATTGGCTGTTAGTCTGCATACAACTTGCCAAGTCTCTAAGAGTTGTATGAAGAACATTTTGTAGTATTCCATCTTTAAGAGAAATGTTGTTGGACTTGTTGGTTCTTCTTTTTCTTTGTTGTCAATGAGCCTCTAATATGCAATCCCCTTGTGATGCGATTAGCGATGGCAATGGGGCGGTGCAGTGCAATGCGATGCGGGTGCGGGCCGCGGGTTTAAACATATGCGGGTGCGGGCTGGTGCGGGGCGAAATAAAGAAAGTTAAAACTTGTGCGGGTGCGGTGCGGGTTTAAAAACTTCATTAAAGAAGGAAATTCAATTTTCTGCCTTAATGAAGACGAAATTGATTCCATGTAATATATTGAAGCAAAATAAAGTTTCATATTATTTGAACCAAATGCTTGCACGTCATATTGTTCTGAAAATGTAATATCTAAAAGTTACATATCAAGACCACCTTCCAGAGGATTAGAGAAGTGGCTTATTTATACATTCCGGTGGATTACGAATTATTCCAGTGGATTAGCTTGAATATGATAAAAACAACATATACTCTATTATCAAATATAAAAAGAAAAAATTATTATCATATCAAAGATTTTTGTTAAGTAACTTTTATTATATATGTGCAAGATTTTAATTCTCGTAAGTATCTTCTTCTTTCCTTAGCTGAAGCCTCCCTTAATCTTTAAAATTAATGAAAAATATGGATAGATATCATAAATATAATAAGAAAAATTCCAGCCAAAAGATTAAAAAATAAATAAACTAACAAAAAGAAGGGAAAAAAAGTTAAGCGGTGCGGGGCAGGGTGGGTGAACGCGGGTGCATGTGCTATGCGGGGCGGGGCTGGTTGAAACTTTGGGGGTTAAGAGAAAACTTGCCACGCACCGCTTGCTATCCCTAGATGCAATCCATCCGTTAGTATAAGCAGAAATGTTACAGTTGAGTCGTTGACTGTGTTTTCTGATTCTAAGATTTGTTAGACTAATGTGTGTTTTTGGATAGGAACTCTAGTTAATTACACATGCATACAGTTCGATGTTAAATGGGAAACAAAGTAGTAATACAAGAACCAAGATGTTGAATAGCGAAAATTAATTTAGTAGTACTTCTAATGATGGCAATAACAAATGCTCCAGAATCAAGATTTCATAATCCTCTCGTGAATCAAATAAACAATCACCTATCATTAAAACCAAATGTTCCATTTCATGGAGACAAGTCTAGGGGCGACAAACAAGCGGGTCTGATCTAATATGGGCGAGTTAAAATAATTTAGGCAAAAATGGATAAAATATTCAACCCATCTATATACAAATAAAAAATACGTTAAACGACGGAAATATGGATATTCATATTATCCATGGCCTTTTGAGTGGTCGTTTTTGACTTGTCCAAATGCATATTACAGTACACCATTTATGCAAAGGGGCATCATTTCTATTGATCTGGTTGCGAAGGAGATTTCAGTTTAATGTTGTGCGTGGGAGTGTTAACTGTTAGGAAGTGATCTTAACAACAGAGATATGAACATAGTATTATTTTTTTTTTATGGAAAATTTCAAACACTTAAATGGATCATTCAGGCAGCCTGTGGAAGAGGAAGGTGAAGGTCTAGTGGCTCGGAAAAAACAGAGCGAGAGAAATAGCAGAGTTCCATTCTGGTAGTCAGAGGCGTATTCAGAATTTCAGGAGAATGAATGCATTATTACTTTTATTTTTTTAATTCTTACGTGATGTTAGTTACCCGTTTTGAGATCTAACTAATTCAAATTCGCTGTTTGTTTGATTATATTTTATTACCATGACACAATTTGACGAGTCAACTATAGTCTATACCATTTTCACAAAAAAATATCATTTTATTTTTAATTGTCCTTGAATAGTTTCCTGTATTGGAAATGATCAATAATAACATCATTATTTATAGGTACAAATGTCTTAACTTTATGTAGCAAAACTGTATACTTATTCAGAAAGGTAAATAAAGAAAAGAGGAAACTTTGAAACTGGAGATATTCAAAAGTAAATTAGAATCTCTATTTCTTTTTGAGTTTTGTAACTCCAAGAATAAACCCTAAAACGGAAAGGAAAAAAAAAAAGGCAAACAAAAAAGCCATAAAATAAAAACAGAAAAATTAAGATTCAATTAAAATAGCTCAAAGACGACAACAACAACAACAACAACCCAGTAAAATCCCACAAGTGAAGTCTGGGGAGGGTAATGTGTACGCACACCTTACCCCTACCCCGAAGGGGTAGAGAGGCTGTTTCCGAAAGACCCTCGGCTCAAGATAATAAAAAGACAAAAGGAGAGAATATTAGATTCACCACGGAGATCATAGAAAAAATAGGAACATAAAATGCATGGAAAAAAAAATGCAAAGCAAAAACGATGGCTAGTATATGGATCCTGCGTCGAAAATAGAAAATAGTAAGACATGATATTGCCCCTAGCTATCTTAGACAAAACCCTACCGGACTAGGCTCACAAAGGTACAAAGTAACGCAAGACTCAACTACCTCCTAGCCTACAACCGTAATACTCGACCTCCACAACTTCCTATCAAGTGTCATGTCCTCGGAAATCTAAAGCCTCGCCATATCCTGCCTGATCACCTCTCCCCAATACTTCTTAGGCCGCCCTCTACCTCTCCTCGTGCCTTCCACAACCAGCCGCTCACACCTCCTTATTGGAGCATCTGGGCTTCTCCTCTGTACATGCCCGAACCATCTGAGCCTCGCTTCCCGCATCTTGTCATCAATGGGAGCCACGTACACCTTCTCCCGAATATCATCATTCCTAATCTTATCCATCCTAGTGTGCCCGCACATCCACCTCAACATCCTCATTTCTGCTACTTTCATCTTTTGGATATGTGAGTTCTTAACAGGCCCACACTCAGCCCCATACATCATGGCCGGTCTAACCACTGCTTTATAGAACTTACCTTTAAGTATCGTTGGCACTCTCTTGTCACACAAGACTCCAGATGCTAACCTCCACTTCATCCATCCTACCCCAATACGGTGTGTGACATCCTCGTCGATCTCCCCTCCCCCGTGGATAACCGAACCTAGGNGGTCTATTGGAACAGTTCTTGCAACGGTTTGCATCGTCGTGACTATAGATACGTCTATCGCAACGGTTTTCCCTTTTTCTGTTGGAATGATTATTTTTATCAATTGGAACGGTTTAAAACCGTTACTATATTGTTTATGCAACGGTTCTAAACCGTTACAATATTATTTAAAGCAACACTTATGTAAGTTATTGCTACGGTCATGTGGGATATAACAACGGTTTCTTTAAGCTATCATAACGGTTATATATGTATTTGGAACGGTTTATAGATCTTTCTGGAACACTTTATAGGACCTATTGCAACAGTTTACATTATTTACTGGAACGCCATTTGTGTCGTATTGCAACGGTTCTGGTAGGCTATTGTATTAGTTCAGTTAAAACCAAAATATAGCACCTGTTATAAATAAATATTTATATATATAATAAATTATAATAACACTAAAATTTAAATACATCATAAAATGAAACTATTAATAACATAAAATTATCCATCAAGCAAATAATATCCATAAAGCAAATGTTCTACCCCATGAGTGCATAAGTTTAGTACATTTCAAGAGAGTAAGTAAGTTTCAAAAATGTTGGTAACAAAAGATTCCTAGAACATTCATCTAAAACAATTCAAAATTCTTCTCAAGTAAGGTCTAGTTCTTCATTGTCTTCATCATCCATTTCTTGATCTACTCCACCTACAAAAGAGGATAAATAAAGTTATTACCCTTCAAGAGAATCCGGTCTAAGAATACTCATAGCACAAATTGCCATGAAAAAAGAAAAGAACATGAAAACTCCAGAACCAATAATAGTAGTTGCAAAACAAAAAGAAACTACAAAAGAAGTTCAAATCTTCCAAGCTGGCCATCAGATGCCAAGCCATGAACTGTTTGCTAATGCAGTTAGGACCATAGTACCTTCTGAACTGGTGTATTTCATTTTTTTTTCCTTATGAAACTTAAGGATGAAGTTGATTCAAGTTGTAAGTCAAAAAGTATTACTTTCTCACACATATACCTTACTCTTTGTCTTCTTTTATTTTTAACTTTCTAATCTCTCCTCCTCTCCCCAAAGACAATGTATTAATAAAAATAACTATCACTTCTCCCGTCTAATTATGATCAATCCATGTTTCTGTTAAAAGGGTAGAAGATGAGGAAAAGAAGAAAATAAGCCAATGAATAAGCAGACTATTAGGCAGAAATGAGGCCACAATTTAATCCCATCTTGCATTAAGAAGAGTATCTCTAAACAAGAGGTCTTCTATGGAAAGAAATCAAAATTTCACTTATCTATTCATTTAAAGATGGAATGAGGACTTCACCAACCAACTTCTAGTGCAATCTAAAGATGGAGTTTGTGGGATTAAATTTTCTTATTGAACTCAGAAATTGGGAAGCAGATCAAGTCCAGGAGGTTCACATATGACATCAGTTTACACATTGGATTCTAAAAACAGATTCTAATATCGAAATAGGCACATCTATAGGAAGAAAAAAGGATATTACCATATCCACCTGCCTTGAACCAAAGCAAAATCTCAACCAATGAATGAGGAGAAGAAGAAGAAATACAAGAAGATGTATAACATTTGGTACGTACTGACCTTGATTGTTACTACCAGCAGATGGTCGACTGTTTACTTGAACAGCAGCTTGTTGTGCAGAGGAAGCTTCTACAAGTGAACGTGCACTGAACCTTAACATGTCAGGATCAAGTCGCAAATCTGGGTTCAACAACCTTGTTCATTTGAACTGCAGTTGCTTCCTCAATTGCAGGTCAATTTGCCTTCAAAATGCATGCCAAACATTTACAGCCAAGCAATTTTCTCAAAGCAACCAAATAATTCATTTTAATAAAAAGAAACAACTGTTGCCACACTTAGTGCAAAACAAGAAGTACATAGCTGAAAAATTAAGCAGGCAAATGTACAGAAGTTTTCAGCAGAAAACTGGCAGCAAAATAGTGTAGAAATCACACTCAAAACTCAAAATAATGGAGTTATCAGCAGCTTTTGAACTGGACAGCAGCTCACAAAATGCAGAATTTACAACTGCAGGAATAACACAACTGAAATAACTGAAGAAAAATCACAAAGCAATCACTGGACAGTCGCATATGAAAGGTTCAACAACCTTGTATCACTTGAAACTGCAGTTATTTCCTCAATTGCACGTCAATTTGCCTTCAAAATGCATGCCAAACATTTAACTTTATTGTGTCTTTCTTTTGTTTTTGTCCCCAAAAATTGATTGCTGAAATTACAAGTTTACATCCTTTTACTTCATCTCCAGGAAGGGAGATTACTATCGCTATTTAGCAGAGTTCAAATCAGGGAATGATCGTAAAGAGGCAACTGATCAGTCACTTCAAGCTTTTGAGGTTTCTTTTGTTCCACGCTATCTTATTTGGCTCAATCTTCTTCTATGTCTAGCTGCAGCATTTGTTTCCTTGTTGTTTATGATGACAAATTATTTTTTGATTTATTTAGTTGTTTGTATTCTTCTTAATTAAGCTTATTGCTCTATTTTTGTAGGCTGCTACTGCCACAGCTAGCGCAGATCATGCTCCTACTCACCCAATTATACTTGGACTTGCATTGAACTTCTCAGTCTTCTACTATGCCAGCAAAGTTGTGCATAATGCCTACAAAATCTAATGTTCCCAGGGCAAATTTACAACACTTGAGGTTTTAGTTGACAAGAGTGCAACAATAGGCCGAGCAACCCAAACTATCATGTATTGCAATGTATTAACTCTTTCACTACTTCCTGAGCAACCAAATATAAGCAGGCAGCAAGTTGGTGATAGCTTCCCTTCTGTTCTGTTTTCCGCTCAGAGCATTAAATTGAAGATAGGAGTGTTATCCATCATCTCCTAAAATAGCATGTCACATCACTTGAGCTAACTGGATGATTATTATGGCAACTCAAGATTGCCTTCTTTTTCAGTTTTCTCCTAAATAGACAAAGATACGAGATTTAGAACTAAAGTATTTCAGTCAAATAGGATCAGAGAGATGGAATAACATTGGTAATTAGAATAGCTTAGGGGAAAATCGGAAGTAGGGGCATATATACCAGCAATTGATTTGTTTCGGCAGGAGTACATGTTTGTTCATTAGTCCACCTTCACGAATGAAATAAATTTACTAGCTGTATGAGATAAAATCCAAATTACAAACATAACAATATTTTAAGCATCTCCTCATGTTGAAAAGCACTTGATCGCATTTAGACACTAATTACAAACATCGTCCATGGAGTTTAATAAAACCACTTAAAGAACCATAACCAGGAAAAGCAACACATTAAGGAACTCAAATCAAAGAAGCTTGGAGAAATAGCACACAACTTAACAGACTAACAAATTGGTCACTATTATCTATACCACAATTGTGGAGTACCAGTTTAGTTCACCAGTCTTCTTCATGCT